GGATATTTAATACCCTGACCTCCACCTATTAAATGTCAGTGATACCTCCACCCCCATCGTTGTGACAGTTGAAAGCACCATCAAAAAGAGCAGGGGCATCGTTGTACATGGTAACTTATGTTTGGCTGGACCTAGGTGGAGGAGGCTGGTGAAATGGACCATGGAATCACACTCTGTACATATATAACAATCCTCTGCATATCTTTATAGAGAGTACAACTTCCTGTTGAGGTTTTGCTTTACATTTTTCAGATTCCCTCCAAGTTCCCTAAAACCAGTATCCGTTTGATTTAACCATAGGGAAAAGTATAGCCCTTCAATGTTTATTGCTGGAGGTTGCAGGTATGCTGCAAGAAGGGCAGTTGTAGAGAAAAACATTTCATCCTGCAGTACCACAGTACAATATAGAAAAAATAAAGTTCTAAATGGATAGACTAATAAGAGAATGTAGTATTTAGAAAAACTTGCAGTATTGTTGCCTATTCACTACATATGTACAGGGAAAATATAGCATAATTCACTCTGAATCAGATGTTAAGCAAAGAGCCTTTCCACAGCTAATTTTCTTGGCTCTGTATACTCTGTTGTAGAAATAAAGCAAAAATGATTAGAAGATATTTACAGGGCCTCTGTACGATATTATGTTTTAGTATTGAGCAAAGAAAAACACTAAAGTTTGCAGAGAATGATTGAACCTCAAAATTTTTGGTAGTAGAAAACATTAGAAAAATAGAATTTGTTGAGGTTCAAGAATGGGATGGAATTTTGTTTGAAATGGAAACTATGAGCTGCCTAGAAAGGAATATTTAGATATATAAACTCAGGCACCAGAAATCAAGGACCGGCCAAGTTATAGTACACCTGGCCTCGTCTGTGTCGATCATTATAGCACTTGCATATTGCAAACCCCAAAGGCTTGTGCTACGTGTGAGATACCATGACCTGAGTAACACCCACTGTAACTCAAAGCAAGCAAGTTTCTCGTGGCACTGATTACATTACACAGCTGAGCATTTCTGCCCCCACCCACTGTTGCACTATAAAAATTCCTGCCTCTTTGCTAAAAGCCTCCACTTGCTTGAGAAACTTCCTTTTGTGATTTGTAGACTGGGCTTATGTTACTGATGAGATTGAAAACAGATTTCATTGTAAAAGTTTATGATGTTCCAGTCTGTTCAATATGTGTACAGTTGGAGGAACACATCCCTTCTTGTCCATAATTTCTTATTTGATCTTCTCTTGCCCACTGTCCTACTCTTTATGCATCCACAGACCCCCCCCCACCTCATATTCACACACCTGCAAACCTGTCCATGATCATCCCCAAATAAAGGGGCCTGGTTACAGACTTTAATTTCTGATGCACAAGAAGGCATTAAAGTGAATGTCTCCTAGGGATATTTGTTATTAAAACAGCTTTTAGCAAATGAACCAATCTAGCTAGCCAGTGAAATGAATTCTGACGTAAGTTTTAATAGTTATATAAATCCTTTAAATCTAATCTCTGAGTCTAGATTGCTTCCTGTAGCTGGGAACTTCTGTAACCAGCAAAGCAAGAATGAAAGCAGAATCACTGTTGATGGGCTTTCCGAACTTTTGTCCAGTTTTTGTAAATAATAGTTTCATTCTGGATTCAAAGCAGCACCTGCCCTAATTAATGTGGAAATCTCAAGGTTAGTCAGCTAAAGCCGTTCCTGCTTTTTCACCTGTTTCTTTCCTTTGTATTCATTTGTTCACCAGATCAGCCCACTCCTGCCTTGAACCTAGATACCTTCCTTGATGGCTGCCCCTTCTACTCACAGCTGACTCTGTTCCTTTAGCTGAACCAGTAGCTATTCAGTAGTTCTGGGTGTTTTGTGTTCATTAAGCTTTTCTCTTCCCTCACTAATGAGAAAAGAGATAACAGGTTTTTCAGGCTCCTCCTTTCCTAACAATGTAATCCTGTTTTACTCTCACTCAACACCCTGCATTGTGAATAATGTTAACATTTTATTAATGTATTGAAGTATTTATTTATATTTGATCAGTGCTCACCATATTTCTTCGTATCTCTAGAAGTCTCTTGGGAAAGATCATGCCCTTTTAACTGTCTAATAACATGCATACTGAGGCACTTGAAGAAGGATCACTCACGATCAAATGTCACACTCAGAAAACTTTAATAGATAAGCTGTGAGCTTTTTGGTGTGTTCTCCAAGAAGATTAGCTGGTGGTATATAATTGAGAAACTGAACTGTGGGAGCCAAACTGTGGGAGAAGATGAGTAAGGGATGTGACATATCAGAGGTAAGATGATGAGATAGAAAGCCTTTCATCCACGGACTTCAGAATACAGTTGACAGACTTACCCTTAACGAGGGATTTGGAAATCTCTTTAAAAGAATTGGGAAACGAAAGCAGAGGCCCCAAAAGACCAGGCCGTAAGGGAAGGCACAGGCAACAGAGGAGCATGCACTTCTGAGTTCGGCAAACATTTCACTTTGCTCCCTCCCACAGTGCTCTGTTGAGTCATCAGGGCAGGCTATAAATAAGGAAGTGGCTTATAGGTCAGGACTCAGGAAGATCTGTGTAGCCTCACCCCAGGGTTGCTACACCTCTGTCATTGAAATGACTTTAATGCCAAAGGAAAGAATAACACTGATTTAAATCACTATGAACACGTCTCTCAAATTAGGCATCCTTTCATTTTTCTAAGTCCCGTTAACCAGGGCTTGGAGCAAGGTTGTTCACTATGAGAGTCTTGTTTCTTCTACGTAGTTTTCTTATCACTGTACCTAAAAAGAAAAAAAAAAAATATGGTATAATTAAAGGAGCTCCCAGGCTGGGTGCAGTGACTCACACCTATAATCCCAGCACTTTGGGAGGCCAAGGCAGACGGATCACCTGAGGTCAGGAGTTCTAAGACCAACCTGACCAACATGGAGAAACCCCATCTCTACTAAAAATACAAAATTAGCCAGGCATAGTGGCACATCCCTGTAATTCCAACTACTCGGGAGGCTGAGGCAAAAGAATTGCTTGAACCTGAGAGGTGGAGGTTGCAGTGAGCCGAGATCGCTCCATTGTACTCCAGTCCGGGCAGCGAATGAAACTCCATCTCCAAAAAAATAAAAATAAATTTAAAAAAAAAAAAAAAGAGGAAGGTCCCAAGAATAACCAAAAGTGTTAAGGAATCAAAGGACTGACAAATAAGACTGTTCTCAAAAGAAATGAGACGTTTAGAAAATCATAAATTATATTTAGCATTAAATTTACCATTGTAACCATTTTTAAGTGTACAATGTCATGACATTTACTGCATTTATACTATTTTGCAACTATTAGCCACCATCTATCTTCAGAACTTTGTCATCATCCCAAACTAAAGCGCCTGTACTCACTGAAAAATAACTTCCTATTCCCTAATTCCACAGCCCTTGACAACCACCATTGTACTTTCTGTCTCTAAAATTTACCTATTCTAGGTACCTCACGTAAGTGGCATCATATAATGTTTGTCCTTTTGTGACTGACTTATTTCACTTAACGTAATATCTTCAAGGTTCTGTACATATTGTATGTAGATTCATCTGTTGATGGACATTTGGGTTTTCATCTTTTGGCTATTTCGCACAATGCTGCTGTGAACGTTGGTATACAGTTATTAGTTTTAATTTCAGTTCTTTTCCGTATATATCTACAAGGAACATTTCTGGATCATTTGGTTATTTTGTGTTTAACTTTTGGAGGAACCCCGGAAGTGTTTTCCACAGTAGCTGTACCATTTTACATTCCCACCAGCATTGCACAAGGGTTCCGGTTTTTCCACATCCCTAGCAACCCTTGTTATCTTCAGGTATTTTGTTATGATAATGGCCAGCCAAATGGAAGCAATGTGGTATAAATGGGGTCTTTTCTATTGGGAGTAATGATCTGAGAGTGGAAATGTAGTCTAGAGTTGTAAAGACTTCTGCTAGGAAGTACACAGACATGGTCACCAGAATCTAGAATTTAAGAATTTGGGGTTGGGCGCAGTGGCTCACACCTGCAATCCAAGCACTTTGGGAGGCTGAGGCAGGCAGATCGCTTGAGCCCAGGAGTTGGAGACCAGTCAGGGCAATGTGGTGAAACCCCCGTCTCTACAAAAAATACAAAAATTAGCCAGGCATGGGGGCACACGTGCACCTATAGTCCCAGCTTCTCAGGAGGCTGAGGTGAGAGGATCACCTGAGTATGGGGAGGTCGAGACTGTAGTGAGCTGTGATTGCACGCCTGCACTCCATTATGGGTGACAGGGTAAGACCCTGTCTCTGCATAAATAAATAAATAAATAAATAGGCAAGGAAGGTACTCAAAATATTTAACAAATATAGCATGGCATAGGTACTGATTATTCAAAAAGGCCCCTGGCACTTCGCCTTCCTGAGGTGTACAGATTGTCAGCCTCAGTGAGGACCATATTGAGGTAAATTTGGAATAATGAAAGAAGTGTCTTCCCACACTATTTATGTCACCCAGTGATAGGGACATAAGCTCAAGTATAAACAGCTTCTAAAAATATTTAGATGTTTAACTAATGCATGGTTAAGAAAAAACAAGAATTCTGTGTGATGAACCCTTTTCCTTTTGAAGTTGATGTTAAAGAAGATGATTGTGCATCTGTTCCTGCCTTAAGTTAGCCCACCATCTTGCATTTGAAGCTCTCTGAGCTCTTCTGGCAATCACAGGGGAGTGAAATTGTTATTTCAGTTGTTTAAGATCCAGCAAATATATTGTACATTTACCATGTGCCAGGCCTTACGATATGTGCTAGGAAAAGAACAGAGTGCAAAGCAGACCCTGTCCTTTTCATCATGGAGCAATGGTTTAGTGGGGCAGTCAGATAATATCACACAGTAGATTTGTAATTCCAAACTGTGCTTGGTTCCATGCAGGAAAAATACCCAAGACGTTTATCTCCTTTCCTTTACATTGTTCATACAGCCACTCACTCTAAGTAACCTGAGTGCTTTTCTCTTCAGGAGCCTCCAGACAGGTGGCTTTGCCTGGGAAGGAGAGGTAGAAAACAACGTGTACAGCAAGGCTACAGGGGTGGTCCCCCAGCACAAGTATCACCCCACAGCGGGCAGCTACCAGCTCCATTTTGCCCTGCAGCAACTTGAGCAACAAAAACTTCAGTCCCGGCAGCTCCTGGACCAGAGTCGAGCCCGGCACCAGGTAATTCAAGATAAGTCTTTTCCATGTTGTTAATATCTTCCTGCTGTTGGTTTTTGTTTTTGTTTTTGTATTTAAGGGTGAGTGAATGAGAAATGTAGGATTAGCTTTCCAAACCCATACCACCCTGGCTTGGATGGCTCATGGGGGAATCTACTCTTGAGGAAGAACTGTTCTGCAGCCATAACATTGGCTTTGCTTGAAGGTGATGCTTAACCAGTGTTTGACGTGGTTTCTTGATTTGAATGTTGCTATGCAAAAATCTCTATTGTAGTGTTTCCCCTTTCTGTTGTATGATCTTAGTTTAGTAACCTCTCATCGGGTCTGATTCTAAGATATCTGAAAGCTAGCATTTTAATCATCTTTATTTCTAAATATTCTACTTTCTTGCCTTGATATACTTGGCATACGTAAGTGAAATTACTCATTATCTAAGATTTTCAAGGAATAAATAACTTGAAAGTTCTTTTGGTAGGAAATGGGTGTAGGTTAGGCTGCAGATCTTCTATAAATGATAGCTATTCATTCCACGAATGTTTACTGTGTATCTGTTGTGTACTAGGCACTGTTTTAAACAGTGGGGCTATAAGGTGACTGTACACACAAAAATCCTTGCTGTTGTGGAACTTACGTGTAGGGAGATGTTGATTCACTACTCACTGTCTGTAAAATACCAGAAACTCCTGAGTGTATGTGTGAGGGAGCTATATAAGTATATTGCACTAATATATCAATATGGCCCCAGTTGTACAGAACAGAAAGGATGACCTCACCAAAAATTCAGGCCACAAAGAGTTAAATTTTTCTTGGTGACTCAGGATCATCATTAGAATAATTACTATGTTTCCACAGTGGAGATATTGGACTGAATTAGTACTGATTCTATAAGCTTTTCTGACATTTGGTTATGTGAAGAGATAACCTTTTCTCAGTTTGAGCTCTTGATCAATCATTTTTTTCTTATAAAAATGTAATACATAATGTGCATGAGTTTGTACAAAATTATTTACTCAAAGACTAAAGCAACATTTACCAAAGGTTTTTTCCTCTAAATAAAACAATTATTATTATACTCTGTGTTTTACCTTTTCAACTACTACGCATAACAAAATGTCATTTTGTTATTTCAACATAGTTCATCACTTGATCATCTTTACCTGCAGTAGTATACTCTGTACATTACATTAATTGATCATAATCGAGAAATTGTAATTGCAGGCATTTGCGAAGTAGTTCTTTAGACCCTTTTCACTGGAGAAAATAAGATTTCTTAATCTGGAAAGCATAGAGTATAGTATCTCATTGTAATTACCATATCGCTTTCTATCATGTAAAATTTTCTTCATTTAGAAAAGCTTGGGGATAGTAGACACATTTAAGCCACTTTTCATTTTCACAACTACAGATACAAATGTGTGTCTTAGTTTTTGCTTAAATTTGTGTTCTTAGATTTCTTAAAGCTTTTTAAACTTTAAACTCCCTGTCATTCAGAGTACTTGAGAATGCCAACTTAATCAGTTACTGGGTAGTGGAAGTATCACTATATAGCCTGAGGTCAAGTTATATACATAGTGATATGTATATCAGGTCCTTGGCTCATTACCTGGACAACAAAATAATTTGTGCACCAAACCCCTGCAGCATGCCATTTACATTTATACAAACCTGAACATGTACCCCTGGACCTAAAATAAAAGTTAGAAAAAAAATATCTCTGGCTCTATTGAATCTAGACAGTTGGTACATTTTTTTTTTTTTTTTTTTGAAGGGGGGTTTTCCCCCTTTTTCCCAGGGCGGAGTGGAATGGCGCGCTCTCGGCTCACCGCAACCCCCGCCTCCCGGGTTCAGGCAATTCTCCTGCCTCAGCTTCCCGAGTAGCCAGGACTACAGGCACGCGCCACCATGCCCAGCTAATTTTTTGTATTTTTAGTAGAGACGGGGTTTCACCATGTTGACCAGGATGGTCTCGATCTCTTGGCCTCGTGATCCACCCGCCTCGGCCTCCCACAGTGCTGGGATTACAGGCTTGAGCCACCGCGCCCGGCCACAGTTGGTACATTTTAAACCATGCTTCAATACCTTGAAATGGTGGATGATTGAAGAAGTAGAGGCAGTTTTGTTGATTTGCACTTTTAGAAATTGCCTCATTTTTAAGTCCTTCTCATACTTTTGATTAGCTTCCAGCAACTCACATTCCTTTGAAAATTCAGAGTACTGTACCGCTATTCTTGTGTGGAATTTCTTTTCACTGAGGATTATACGGGTTTAGTTTCACTGAATTATGAAGTATATGGAAATTATGTTTTTTAGAATGTGTCAGAATATCTGTTTTAAGCAGGAGGCAGAACTCCCAAGAAGGGAGTTATCTCATTCTCCTGGAGAGCGAACAGAAAATCGTTCATCATAATTGTATATATGTGTATAGCATTATTTTATTTCTTCTCCCCCACACCCTGAACCCGTTCTTCTAAACCACAGCTAATTTAGGTAAAAATGAGTAAGGGTGAAGTTTCTGGGACTATAGGAGAGAGCTAAAGTAACTAAATTCCACTAGCTTCAAGCGTTTATAACTAATAAAATAGCAAATAAGATATTAAATATTCTAACAGGAAGAATATGTAGAAACTTAGAGCACTTTATTTCAGAGGGTACTTAGAATCACTGCACAGTGGAAGCAAAGCCCTACTAGATTTTATGCCTTTGTATCTTACCTGTGCTAGATCTGACCATTATAATTATCACTAAATTGTCGATTGAAGCATGGTTTACATTCTCAGTATTCTGTGTTTCTGACCTTGGGTTACTCTTTAGATAGCAATGGTACTTTTCTAATGAACTCACACTTTGGATTTATTTTCCTAAAGTGTAGGGAGCCATTGGTATAAGTAACTGTGTGGTAAACTGCCTGTTTGAAAGCAGTGAATAGAATAGAAATCTGATTTACCTAGCATTCATCCATAAAAGAGGCCTGTTTATGGAACAGGATGTTAAAGGAGGCCTTTCATTTATATTATATTGTATTATGTTATATTACATTATATTATATTATGTTTATGAACGGCACCTCTCACATAGTAACCTCCTAATAATGTCTCGGAAAAGATCATGCAGCCTTTTTCTCATTGAATACAGAGGAACTTCTCCCTTCTTTTCTGCCTCAAATCAGAGCACTTAGATACCCAGCTTATTAAAAGTGTTAATTTCTGCTTAAACCCTGATTCAGGATTTGAGCTTGGAAATGGACATCTCTCAGCATTCATGGAGAATGAGCTTTGATCTTCATCTCAGTCTCGCATTGCACTCATAAATCTAGCAGTTGTCATACGCTTAATCCCCCCTGCAAAAGGCTGATCCTGTAACATGTGAGTGAGAGAGAAAAGTCACCCAGAGCCAATGGCAGAAGTTTTCAGGGACTGAGAGACCAGAAAATTGGTGTGATACAGTCCATATGATACAGAGAATAATAAACAAAATAAGACAAAATTGAAACTATGAGCTTTTACACACTGATGGTAAAACCAGCAGTTTGAAAAATATTGTTTTAAGTCAGAGCAGAGTTCAGCAAACTTTTTTTGTTAATAGTAAATATTTTAGGCTTGCAGGCCACAGCATCTCTGTTGTACTACTCAGCTCCGCTGTGGCAGAGTGAAAACAGCCATAAACAATATGTAAATGAATGAATGTGGCTGTCTTCCAACAAAACTTAATGTACAAAAACAGGCAATGGGCGGGATTTGGCCTGTAGGCCCTCGTGTGCAGACCCGTAGAGTAACAGAACCGTTCAAAGAGCCTGTTAAAACACCAGTTGTTCCTCTATCCCATTGCTGATTCATTAGGTTTTGAATAACCTAATGAATAGGCAGAGTCAGCCTCTCTTTTTGTTTTAATAATAATAGCCACCACTCACTAAGCACTTGCTGTGTTCCAAGCACCATTCCAGGTTCTCCATACACATTAACTCACTTAAAATGAATTTTAGTATGGTTGGGGGAAGTCCAGAAACTCAAGAGTTAGGAATAGTCAAGCGAATCTGTTGTAGATTGATACAGCCCAATGCATGTCTTCTGTCTGATTCCCTCTCCTTCTCCTGCTGGCTTCCTGCTCCTAAAGGAGAAGGCAAAAAAAAAACTTTTCTTTCAGCTGAGTCGGGGACTTTCTTGGGCAACAGTGACTACTGGTGACATCAGCATGAGTAGCTCTCCATGCTGGGGTCTGTGAGGAGGGCTGCACCGGCTGTGAGGCCCGACTGACCTGATTCTAATTGCAGACATTGAGCTGATGTTATTCTTGGCGCAGGACAGAGCGATTACTCAGTAGTTTCTGTTAAAGTGATCCTTTGTTAAACTTCTGCTCCCAACCCACTCCCTGCTTCCTTCCCTCCCACTCTCTTCTCTGCCTCATCCAGAGTGAGAAAGAGCCCTAAAAGCAGAAAAGTTAAGGACATTTTGATGGCCAACACAGAATTGCTGAAGTTCCTTTTAACAATAATGGGATAAAAGAGAGATTTTAAATACATCTTAATTCTTCACTGGTTCCAGTCTCTTTACAAAGCCCTTCAATTTTTAGTAGACTTAACCTTCAACATTAGTAAGTAACTCAAGATAGGAGAAAACTGTGCATCCTAAATTTCTCTCATCCTTCTGCCCCATCTGCTCTTTACTTCTCCCTTTCCACCATGCCCAGGTTTACCAATATAATCTGGATTCAGTAATCCCAGCAGAAACCAATGTTCCTGTAACAGACAGGACTGGGGGTAGCTCAGTGTTCACATGAAGAAGTCTTTCCGTTTGCTGGTAACATCGTGAGTGCAGTGTGTAACCAGCTTTTTGCTAGTGGTATGTGTGTACATGCACAACCCCACAGGTGTAGAAAGGATTCCCATATAAACCGAACCAAGTCTTGTTATTGTGCTCCTAAAAGTTCATTGCATGTGTCTAAAAAAATTCTGCCTCCTCCTGCAGGAATGAATTCTGTTTCGCCAAGCCTTCAGCTGCTGTGTGTTT